TGTGACGTTCCGCGTATCACGCCTCACTTAAATTTATTCTTTTACCTAGATGTTAACCATTATTTACACATGTATCCCGTATCTTGCACGTATTTTCACAAGAATTATAATCGCTAGTTATAAGATTTTGCTCTAATCATGTAATTGCGTTACACGCGATCTTTTTGTATCCTATATCATATTAATCATGCAATTGTATTACACACACTTTCTATACCCTATACTATGTTAATCATACAATAGCGTTATATACACGAATTCTTCACGACTTAAGAATTATATTTACTAACTATGTATTACCTGTTGCGCCGTATAAAGCGTAATATTATAATTAAATGTATGAAAGCGCCGTATAAAGCGTAATATTATAATCGAATATTTTGTGATCAATGATCCACGCATCCTATATCAAACTTCCTGGTTACATATACTATACTCATACACATACTATATTCGTATACATATTATACCTATGCATATACAATACCTGTACGCACACTATACCTTTACTTACCCGCTTCACTGTCGGTAACATATCATCTCACAACTTACCAATTACCGATGCTTCATTTTACTTACCCACCTCACTGTCGGTAACATACCATCCCTCGACTTACCTATTACCAACACACAACTTACCGACGTACCCAAGTTACCATATCTGCTAGTTACCAACAAACCATTTATCGACATGACAGTTACCATGTCTAACCTTACCAAAGCTAATTCCTCTAAATCCCGCATTGCATACAGCTCCTTCCCCACCAACAACCTGCGTGGAGAAAGGGAAAGCGAAGCGAGACTCACTTGCAGATACACAAGTGAAGTCAGGGCCTCGTAACTGCTGGTACCACCGTTAGTGGTGCCCTCACCTTATGTCATCCAGAAATATGGAACTAATATTCAATATGACTGTTAAAATCAATATGGACGCGTTATCTACAAGGTGTCACAAGGTGTTCACGTGTGTTTTGGTGTGTTTGCGTGGACGACTCGAGTTTAAATATCTCTAAGAGTCTGTTTAAGTGTCTCTATCTCCCTCTTCATCCCTCTCTCTCCATAGAGCGATCACGAACAATACACGTGAGTATACAGTAAAAAAAACTACATAATAATTTTGTATAAACAACTGATATAGTAATATTGTAATATTAGAACTTAAGATGGTGCGAGCCTGTTGTATCCCGGGATGTTTGTCGGGACAAAACGTTCCATCTCATATGTTTCCAAAAGATATTGAACGCCACAAGCAATGGTTTAAGGAATTGAACATGAAAGTAATAGAGGACGAAAAAGAACTTAAAAAATTAAGAATTTGCTATCAGCATTTTCGTAATGAAGATTACACTAATTCTCCAACAAGAAGAACTTTAGAACGAAATGCTATTCCATCTATAAATGTACTGCAACATGCAGATGGTATGAATGTCGAACATATACTACAACACACGGATGGTATGAATGTCGAACATATACCACAATACACGGATGGTATGAATGTCGAACATATACCACAACACACAGATAGTATGAATGTCGAACATATACCACGACACACAGATGGTATGAATGTCGAACATATACCACAACA